CGGTGACGGGGGGAGCGGGGCGGGGGGCTCCCGGGTCGTCGCCGTGCCGCTGGTCGAGGCCTACCCAGGGCAAACCCTCCTCCTGTCCGAGGAACAAGCTCCAGGTTGAGAGCATTGGTCCTGAAATTACTCTGTTGTTGCCTTAAGCGAAATCCACAAAACTGTAAGCATCGGATGCTGTGTTGGTGCAAAAGGTTAGCCATGGGTGGTGGTCACTTAGGAGGAGCGTAAGCCAGCTCTTGCTTTGGAGCTGTAGGCTGGATTTCAGTTTTCACCCCCAAAGTGGAGTTTCCAGCGCTCCTGTGGTTTTCGGGTCGTGCTGTCCGGATCGCTGTGGTGCTAATTCCTGCAGCAGGGATGGCGTAGTTTTACCAGCATCACTTTTGCTTGTGCAGAAAGAAAGTTCAGCAAAATTAAAAGTTCCTGAATGCTGGGCTTGGCAGATGATCAGAGATGGAGCAACTTCCCTGGAACACACACCTACCCACCATCCACAGTTACACACAAAAATAGTAAAGCACAGTTTTTAAAGCTTTTGTACTTACTAGCTTGTCAGAACTAAGTAAGAGCAATTACCCAAGGAATAGACATTTGTACTGATCACACATACAGAATCTTGGCTCACTCTTCCTGCATATGGCCAAGACCACTCACAATGTCAAATCCCTACCATTAATTCAGACTTTAACTTACGGCCTACTTGCTTTAACATGAGGGTTTGTATGCAGGCATAAAGTTTCTTCTTTTTCATATTAATGGAAGTTGTATTTCTGAATGACTAATAGTTCTTCATACAGTTTCAGCTCTTCTGCATTTCTCACAAATTGTTTTCTCTTGTGTTGACAATATGATTTGACAGGTTTATTGCATTCATTCCACATACTTTTAGTGGTATTTTAAAACAATACTACTAATGCTTAATTTGTAAATCATATTGTCCTCTGTAATTCAGTCATTAAAAAAAAAAAACAGCAGGTACGTAGGAGGACATAAAATCTCAAAACTCTGATTGAAATAAATGCCCCCCCAACAGAATGTTAATTTTAAAACTGTTTCTGTTAATATAATTCAAATTAATCAAGCTTTTCAAGGGCAATAAACTCTGAAAGAAGAAAAGAAAATTTGAAGTTACCTTAAAATAACAACGGATCCATGATTTTCTTGATAAACTGAGCTCTCAGCCTTGTGGGAGTATTGTGTACTTAAAGGAGTTGAGTAACCCATCACACAAGATGAAGTTACCCCATTTAAAATTAGGTCTGAGGTGTAAATGTGTCTCATTGCAGATTATCTGAGAATAATAAGAGAAATATTTAAGGTAGAAGTTGTGTATCTGCCTTACTGTGTGGATTCTGATCCAGTAAAATGCTGTAAAAATACCAATGATAAGAGCTACAGTAGTCAAGAAGCTGAACTGACTTCAAACTATTAGGCAGGTCCATGAGCATATTTTTATTCAATTATTTTTATATTTAAAAAAAGACATGAAATGTTTACCTTTAGTCAGCATTTCAGCTTTTTAAAAAATACATCCTGCTTAGCATCACAAGCAGTCAGTTAAGCAAAATGATTGACTGTCCTTCCCCTGTCCTGTCTGTGTGATGGTGTTGCTCTACGTCTGTTCACTGGCCACTTGAGTAGCAGCTTGGGGAGAGAACAGACGTCACGGTGCTGGGCAGCCCTGTTCAAGGGTATGACAAAAAAAATGATGAAGGGTATAATAAATTATTCCTATTCTGTTTAAGTTATTTAGTTTTATATCAAATTTCAGACTCTCTTGGTAAGTTGCAGCAGAATGCAGAGAGACTTTAAATTACAATTCAGTGAAGAAATTAATTACATTCAAATCTACAGTGCAGATTGCCTGTCTCGCAGCAGATGGGCAGAGGTTTAACACTGCTGCACCTCAGATAGGAATGCAAACATCGATTCCTATTAAAAAAACCCCAGAGAGCGAAAATAATCTTTCTGTAATAACCAAAGACAAAAAGCCAAACCAGAATTTTTTTCCAGTAATGATGTTGGCTTATCATAGCTGAGTTTTTAAGCAAAATAATGCCTTGAATTTTGTGGGTTTGCAAGGAATGCAGAGTGCTCTCTTGCTTGTTACTTCCACAGCCTGCTGTGGTAGCAGGGAGTAGTTCATTTTATAGATAATTGGTGTTTTAAGCTGCGGGTTAAAATAAAGGGAGTTCCACAACTGGGGAACCTGTGGGGATGGCCATGACCTCCAGGAGGGGTGTGGAGGAAGGCTGGGGGTGGACAGAGCTGGCCAGGGATGGCAGGCTGCAGGAGGCTCGCTCGCTTGCAGTGGGAAGGGGACATGCCACTGTGGGAACGCACACAGCCCGGGAAAGAAACCAGAGGAATTGGATGTATCGGCACAGCTGCAGCGCTGGGATCGCAGGGACAGGGTGGCACAGCTCGTGACGAGTGGTGTGATGGAAGGACACAAGCTCTTCTGGAAAAGCAGGTGTGGAAATGAACGGAAGTTGTGTTCTACACAAACAAGCGTCTCTTTGCCTGGAGCTTTCCTCCTCTTTGGAATGAGCCAACTGAGATCCGAGGGGTTGGGATCGGTGGGGAGACCAGCGTGGGGTACATTGCGGGGGCACCTGCTATAAACTGCCTGATCAGAAAGAGGAAGCAGGTGAAGCCTTAAATAACTAGAAGAAAGTTCAGATCATAGGCCCAGGCTGCTTTGGGAATGTAAAATTGCTCTGACATCTGGATGAGCCACCCGGAGAGGTAAAAGCAGTCCAACCAATTTTTCTGGGACATCAAGAACTTTTTTTTTTTTTTTTTTTGACCCAGATGCTGGATTTGTTACTCAGAAACAAGGAGGTACTAGTAGTCAGTGTACAGGTCAAGGGCAGCCTTGGCAGCAGTGACTCCAGGACCTTAGAGTTAAGATCCCAAGAGAATTAAGGAAGGCAAGTAGCAGAATAAAGATTCTGGGCTTCAGATGAACAGAATTGGGCTTGTTTGACTAACCTGCCTGTCAGTATCCTTTGGGAAATTACTATGGAGGATGATGGAGCCTGGAAGAGGGAGTTGATATTCAAAGACACCATGCTGATAGCACAAAACCAGTCTCTCCAGTGAGCTGAAATGTGAGCAGGCGTGGCAGAGGAACGGCATGGCAGGGGAGCAAGTTGGCTGAATAGGCAACGCTTGCCTGAACTCAAACACCAAAAGGAAGGGTTTGGAAGGCGGAAACAGGGATGAGGTATCTAGGCAATACAAAAGGATTGCCCAGGCATGCGGGGATGGAGTTCAGAGACTACAGCTCAGTTGGAGTTGAAATTGGCAAAGGATATGAACAACACCAAGGAAAGTGTCTGTAATTACTTTAGCAATGAAAGATGAAGGAAAATGTGGGCACACTCTTTGAAAAGGTAGGGGATGTACTTAAGAACGGCATGGAAAAAGCCAAGGTGCTCAGTGCCTTTTTCATCTCAGTTCTTACTAGCAAGGTCTGCTCACGGGCCTCTCGGGTTCCTTGAGCCTAGTGTCACAGTCAGACGGAGTGAAAATACTAACCATAATGGAGGAAGACAGAGTTGGGGACTGCAGAAGCAAACTGGACAGACTGTTCCACGGGACCAGATGGGATGCATCAGGGTGCTGAAGGAGCTGGTCGACATTATTGCAAGGCCACTGA